GCTGGAAATGAGCTCTTTCTAAGAGGCCAGTCAGAGTGCCATAAATATAGAATGCAAATTTTGAGGCTAAAATATATAGCATATATACAGACATTTAATATTGCAAAATATGATTTGCAAATGATGTAAATTCCAAGTCTAAATTTAGAAATAGAAGCCTGAGAAGTAGGTATAGTCTCTTACTCTGATTTTCCCTTCTGTAATTCCTCTAGGGGAGTGCATGTTGCATAGAAGTGACAAAGGCCTTTCCTTGGGGTTATGGAGAACCAACACGACCCATATTCTTTGGGCCTGGTCAGAATTATTGAGCGTAATGGAATGTGGATAAGCCCTGTCCATAACAGGACAAGACTTTGATCGCAGGTGTGGATGGTATGGCTGAAAGTGAGGTATCTTGTCTTCAAGGTCTGTATGTTGTGGTAATTGTTTCATCTCGTTAGGCATCGAAGTGGTGAGCTTAAAGCCAGCTATCCTCTTCTCTGTGTGATACTGGGATAGAGATGTGTTTCCAGTGCGACGTGAGGTTGCCACCTGACTTTGTGGTCACGTATTCAGGAGACTGGCTTGAGTGATCCGTGATCGGATGAGCGTCTAAACATGGCCATAAATGTTTGCATCTTCCTTCAGTGTTAGCTTTTCGGTTAAAAGGGAATTATGTGTGGAAAAAGTTCTGGAAGTTACTTTGTTCGGATTAATTTTTTGCCTTCACACTTAATCTGTAGCTTTTCCAGATATGTTGGCTGAAATGCAAACAGCTGAGTAATCCAATCGAATAAGCTTCTGGTAGTTTGTGTCCCTCTTGCATCTGAACTCTGGCTATGTTCAGGTTTTCTGTCTTCATAATTTTGTTGCGCAAGCACAATTGCTTGCTAAATTAACACAGTTGCCTGCTAAAAGAACTTTCTGCTCTGCTAACTGTTCAGCTGCATAAAATTTGCTGTCATATGGTGGAGGATTTTAAAAATAAAATCCGGAGTCACAGTTTGTCTCGCATTCTGAAAGGCAGTACTGTGTACTTGGTTGCATGTTCAATCAAGTACGTAGTAATATATTGATCTCCACATTTTTCCATCTCTCTTGAGAGATGGTTTACCAGAATAGAAACGGTCAACAGTCATTCTTGTATGGATTATGAGAGTCTTAACTTGATAGAAAAATGTTTCATAAACATCATTCATCACTAATGTACAATAACTGTATGGTCAGGCTGTCATCTCAGAGCAGGAACTTGTGGAGTCCAAACACTAGAAATCCACTTTAAGGAGCAGTAGTTTGAAGTGAGAAAATGTTGAATTTCAACTTATGTCAGGAGATCTTGACTATGTGATAGTAATAGATATTCCTCGCGAGCTTGCATAGAGTGCCAAGTCATGAAAAGTGTGAGACGAATTTGTCTTGGACAAATATGATCTCTCCACAAATTTTCTTTATTTGGTATTGCTTCTGTATGAAACTTTGGTCTTCTGACACATGCTAAGAAGACAACATATCTTTAAAAATACAGGATTATGAAATAATCTTTGTTTTGCTCTTTTACAGATAGTGTTTTCGTTTCAAACTGTAAAAATATAAAATGATCTTAGTTTATGGTAACCTCGCTTCTCTTCCTACCTGTCCGTAGATGTTTGAGAGCTGCAGAATCTTTTGCTGCAGAGTCACTTTTGTCCCTGCTAAAATTGGTAAACTTCTCACCATCTTTAAAAGATACATTTGAAATACTGTAGGTGTCTAAAATAAGGGCTATGTAGGCTGCCTTACGCCACCTCTGACAAGCCTAAACAACTTTAGATCCTCTTTAATATATAGTGCCTTGTGCTGTAGCCTAAGGATTCATGCCAGTCCAGTTGTTTGCTCTGTGAACATAGAGCTAGTAGTTGAGTGCTGGTTAATGGATCATGAGGAGCGTATGGTCCTGCTGCAGCCAAGCCTAGACTGATCACCAACGGGGTGCCTGCCTAACACACTGGTCAGTACAGGCCAAGAACTGGGTTTGGGACAGAGCTGGCGTCATCCCAGCCTTGGAGCTTGCAGCTAATTCTAGGGTTGACTCATCTGGGAGTAGAAGGCCACTGTTAAAAGCAGGGTTCAGGCATATCTGGGGAGTTGCTGCACTTCCAGAGACCTTGCAATCTTCAAGGTGGTTTTTTTTAGCTGCTCAGGAACTTTAATGAAGAGATGCTGTGAGACAAATTGCAATTTGTGGTATTTCTTCTGACGTGGGGGCAAAAAACCCCACGTTGATTTGTGGAGATGTACATACTTATTTTTCTTTGATGCATAGATCTCCATTGAGCCACGGCCTCTTCAGAGGAATTCATTGTGGGTGAGCCCACTGTACCATTTAAGCATGCTTTGGGAAAAGACTTTTGGTTCCTATTGCATAATCCTGAGCAAAGCAAAACTCTTGACCGTTTATGAGGAAACTAATGCATATGACCTAGAAAGTTTGTCTAGAAATAAAATTATACGGAGTGTGTTTCTTGTTTCAGCATGTCCTTTGTACAAAGAATCAATCTAATTTTGTTACTAGTGCTAGCTAGAAAAATGCAAACAATTTTTTTCAAAAAGTTTCTAGCAATGATTTGGTTTGAGATTCCTATAGAAACGAGGTCTGTGTGGCACCAAAACTATTCCGCCAGAAATAAATGTGCTGTCATGTTGTTGGCGTGATAGCTCATCATCTCCAAGGTCTGTCATTTTGGAGAGAACCTTCAGGTTTGCAAATCCCAAGTTTTAAGTGTCAGTGTCTCTGGAGCAGACTGCCATGGGACATTCCCAGAGCTTCGGCTCTGTGTGGGACCTCCTGGGAAATGAAGAATCTGAATCATGTTGGTTGTTTTCCAGTAGTTTCATATGACCTCTGTCTGTGCTCAACGTACGTGCAAGTGTTTCGATGTGATGGATTGGTATAGGGACGATGCGCTTGAGAATGCCAACTGTCCCAGTAAAATAGCTAATGGCTTGGTGTGCAAATGAAAATGGGAGGAACAAGAGAGAGAAGTACCTAACGACATGAAAGAAATCTGTATCTTGGGAGGTTTTTTTCCATATATGGTCATTGAAGGAAACGTTCATGGGAGTGAAAAATGTGTTCACGTGTTTTCTTAGCTCTAATCTGAAAGAGGAGAGGAGTGAACACTTCATTGTCTGCCCTGTGTTTCCTCAAGAGCGTGAGTGTGAGTGACTGACGCTTTCAGTGACGCTAGTTAATCCTTAATTGCTGGGTTTGGGCAGGGTTGGGTTGTTGTTGGGTTTTTTAGTGATCTTTAGAAACAAGAGTAAGGCCATGGACACGTTTTGAATGGACAGCCGAACTCAGTTTCTGGGAGAAAGTTTCTGGTCAGATGATTTTGGATAGTGTTATACCTGATAAAATTTGATCCAAAAATTTTATTTTAATAGTTCATTCCTCTCTAAATACACCACTGTTGTTGTGGCACCATGTAATGAAGTGTTACTTCTCTAGGTCTCCTTGAGTGCTTGTTTTCATAGTCTGTGGCTATTTGCATAGCTGTAATAGGAAGTTTACCAAGCCTTTTAATTGTTTTTTGTTTTGTTTTGTTTTTTTTTGGTTTGGTTTTTTTTCCAGTGTTTGGTTAATCTCACTGGCTTTGTCTTTACCTGCAAGGCAGGATCAAACTTGTCTCTGACTTGCCAGGGCAGAGTATGACATTTCAGTGTTCAAACAGTTTGCTGCTTGATTTGTGCAGTCCTTACACTTCTGTTCTGCTCTTTCGGTTGATGTTGTTACTCTTTCCATTGATGTAATGGCTATTTTGCTTACCTTGTGGGTAAGCCAGACAGGAGAGAGAACCGAGCTGTCTATCTCACTAATTTACGTTGACTTCCACCAGTGACAAAGGCAGCAGCCGGCATCTTTGAAGTGAAGGCAATAGGAAATAAATAGCTTTTCGTACCACTTATTTGTAACCGTCATGCCGTATCGCTTTCCTACCCATCGCAGGTTTGCCTTAAAGGATTGCAGAGTAGGTGCTTCCATGCTTTTCCTTATCTTAAAGTCGGCTCCTGGCTACTAGCAGCCCTCCTTCTCTGGGAGGTAGCGTGGCACGTGGCATTTTGCTCCCCTTCGTGTTCTGGAGCACCTTACCTGCTCACTTTGCAAGAACCACGCGTTATTTTAAGTTGGGGGACGAAACAGAAAGTGGCAACTGTACCACTAACGACAAGCTACAAACAAATGAGAATCAATGTGCGTTTTTTTTCGCTATGCACTGGAGCGTTTATGGTGAGTAACTGGGAGAGCAGGGAGAATATCTGGAGAAGGCTTTTATCAGACATCTATTGAATTCCACTTAGGCAATTTTGCTCTATTTTCTTTTTTTTTTTTTTGCATTAAAAGCTTTCAAATCTAGAGAAACTCAAACTTGTACTGGCAACTCCTGAAAACCAACTTGCCTTTATGTAGGATACAAGCACAAAGGTATTAACCTGATGCCTGTTAAAAGGTGAGAATGAGGAACTTATTAACGTTCCCCATTTCAAC